TCCTCTGGCTCTTCCAAGGGCACGCATCACTGTATTTAGGGCCATCCTAATCCAGGGCAATCTCATCTTGAGATACTTAATTACATTGGCAAAGACCCTTTTTCCAAATAAGGTCACATTCTAGGATCCAGGGATTAGGACTGAAACATATCTTTGGTGAGGAGGACTTGGGTCTCGACATTGGTTTCCTCATTAGTAAATTGAGCTCACGTTCCCCGCTTTACAGGATTGCTGTAAATATTAGAGAAGGAGGGGTCGGGGTGACTGCTGATAGGCACAGAGCTGCTTTTTAGAGTGTTGAAAGTGTTCTGGAATTGGCCAGTGGTGAACTCAATGAATATACTAGAAACCATTGAATTGCATGCTTTAAAAGGGTGAACTTAGGGTATGTGAATTATTTCTCGATGAAGCTGTTGTTTAAAAAACAAGCCTGACTCAGGAGCAATCTCTTTGTCAATCATAGTTGCCATCAGTTTTACTGCTATGCCACTAAAAACTACTCTTAAAATCTTTCATGATAGTTTAATCTTTCGCCTTTTCTGCCACATTTCCCTCCCCTGGTTATGAGTTCCATGTGAAGTGGGAACCAAGGGCAAGATGTCATTGCCTGTCTAGCCCGGGCCTTCCACAACCATAGGGAGAAAATAAACGTTTATTTTGATCATACCTGAGTCGTTCGCATAGAAATTACTTGTTGGAAACAAGCTCTGTGGTGCTTATGTGTTAACTCATATCGCTGCCGTGACTATTTATGATACATACCCAAGATGTGATATTACATTTACCCATTAGCTCCTCCAAAAACAAAGGACTGAAATTAAATTTCATGCCAACTTCATTTCCAACTTAATGATTGACAGCATGATATTGAGACCAAAAGTCTTCTTCCAGGAAATTCAATTAGCAATTGAACACTGAATTAGCCAGGATAATTCATATTTTCCAATCATTATCTTATTACAGGTAGTCAAAATCTACGTGCTGCTATCCTGCTTGCCTGAGCTCAGTAAGAAAAATCATAATAAGAACGACATTAAGCTGCATTATTGCCTGACGCTCCATTGCTTCAGAGATTAGAAACTGAATTTTCAGAAGGACAAAAACGTATCTGGAGGAAATATAGGACTCCTGAGTTTTCACTTTGAAAGCTAACAAAGTCAACTTCAAATTTTAATAGATTCCTCTTTGTTTCCATTCAAAGAAAAACAGCAGGAAGTTGGATTTTAAAGGGAGGCTGCTGGTTTTCCAAGCAGTAGTTCCGTTTGTTGGCTGTTTCAGTCCTAATCCCTGGACCCTTGAATGTGGCCTTATTTACTTCTCTAATTCTGATTCCATCATGTTCCTCCCTGTTCTGGGACCCTCTTCTCTGTTCTGAGAGGCTCACTGGTCTTAAAACAGTGCAGAGAGAGACAGATGAGCGTGGGGGTTAAGTAGCCCCGGGCTTAGACACGCAGGTCAGGACTGAGTCCCCAGGTTTGCCACCTGAGCACCTGGACAACAGGATAGTACCAGCTGGAGCGGGAGCTGTGTGAGCATCAGTGGAGCAGGAGATGTGATGAGTGCAGCCCACAGGCTGGGTCCCAGGAAGAACACCATAGGGACCCAACCACCCCCGTTACCCTCACTCCCAATAGCCCTTACCAGCCCAAGAACTTGGCTTCACCTGTCATAGCTGGACCAGTGGCCTGCACACCCTCCTCCCTTCCCCCTGTGAAAGGGAGCCACAGTCTTTATCTTCCCAGACATCAGAGACAGTCTTCTAATCTTTCTCCCCCTCTACCAAGGGGAACAGAATCCCATATTCAAAGCCTGCTGCATTTAAATTCCATGCTCTGAGATCTTCCAGTTCTCAAGTTTGCAACTAAATATCTATGACATTCAACTTAAAACAAATTATATCCACTTATCTAACTCAAAGCCAGTAAGGGCTGTGAGAACATCATAATTTTACGTCTCCAAAACCCTGAATGTTTGAAATTTGTGTCCACTGTTGTTTCCAGCAATCTTTAGAGCTAAATGATTAATTATACCCGAGATGGTCCAAAGCAATTATTTAATTAAGCTGTATGATAGGCTGCCAGTTGTGTAGAGCTCAGGAAAGGCCTTCACCCTGGTTTCTCAACATCTGGCCTTTGGATGACTCGAAAGATAAAAGGAGATATGAGAACATTTTTATGACTAAGTCACAATTTCTAAAAATTTTCCACTAAGTAAAAAAAAACCTTTTTAGTAATTTTCTTCTTATGATTAGAACGTGGTGACATGTTTTGCTGTAAATTTTTAGATTATTTAGATTCAATGCAATGAAAATTTTTAGATTATTTAGATTCAATGCAAGAAAAATGTTCCAATACAAAATGGAACTTTGGTGCCATTCTATCCTGTGCTTGTTTCCCCTCCACTATCTTTGAAAGTTTTCTTTCTTAAGGTAGGCTTTTTAAAATCAGTGTTAATAAACAAAAATGCCCAATGCCCACTCTAATGTTAGAAATACGTTTTGTTCTGTAAAGATCATCTCAAAGAAAGAAACACAAGCTGCCCACAGAGCTGGTGACAAGAGTAATACCGGGACAATGTACTTGGAAATACCCATCGATGCTAGTTTGGGGGAAAAAACAACAGCTACGTGTAATGACTTTTCATCAGTCTGGCCTTTGGATGACTTAAAGATAAGATGATGTAATGATTTCTCGAAACTTTGGGTTTGAAAATATTTAAAAATCCTTCAGTTACTCCACACTACATCAGGCTCCCCCAATCTCTGAAGAATTGAGGGTGGTGACTTCTGATCACGCACGGCTTAGCTTCTAATCACGCCCCCTTAGCAGGGGACAAGTGATGCCTCTCTGTCCCCTGGGTCTTGGTGCCGTCTCATCCATTTGGGTATAAGCCTCCTGGGCATGTTTCTCCCACTGCCCAAAACGTCTCATAAAATAGGATTGGTGGCATAAACTCAAATAATAAGGAATTGGGTAGTGTCAATTTGCTTACCAGTTGTACTCAAAATAGATACTTGACAAATTCAAACCTCTTCCTTTCATACCATTTGAATATTGAAATACTGTCATCCTATTAAAATTTAAGAGTGGCGAGATACCTCTGGGTGGGCTGTCAGTGAGCACAGAACGCGTGAAGGCCTGAACAGTAGACGCACAGTAGCAAATGCCCAGGAGCACCTGACTCAGTCCCTTAGGTGGAAAGAAGCGCAGGTGGTCTGAGGAGAACTGCTGGAGTCTGCAACTCCATTAGCAATTTCTGAAGTAGCAAGTAGGATGCAAAACCCTTGGATTGATGCCGTATCAATTATGTATTAGAACTAATACCCTAAACCTTTAGTCCGTGGACCTCACCCTCCGTCTGGGATCTGCTGAAATACTCTACAAGATTTCATGGTTACGTACATATGTGAAATACCCTGGAGAGAATCTAAGGACGTTCACTCTCTGAAAAGGCTAATAGCCCCTGTGTCTGAGATGTCCTTTTACAGGCAGATGAATTTTGCATGAATATTCTATGTGTTTCTAAGGTGAAGAGATGGTGACCCCCTTGCTAAATAATGAAGGTGCTAGACAAGGGACCTCTAAGAGATGCCAGTGAGCTGTTTCCCAAATTGCCATCCCCCCTCCCCAAATAAAGCTTCCTTTCAGTATCAGAAAGCACCTTTTAAATCACCTTACCAACATTTGGGCCAAGGTTCCCCACCACTTGAAGGAAGATGACACCCTTAGGCCCAAGTTGTTCATTTTCAGAGACTGGGGCACAGCCTCAGCTCTGAGCTCCAGCAGGTCACACGCGTGTCATGGTCCTTGGCTAAGTGCCACCTTCTGTCTCTGCAGGTTAGAGTCTTTAGCAAATTCATTCATTTTTTAAAAAAAGAATCTGTACTTTTATTCTCTAAACTAGAGGTTGGCTCAAAGGGTTCTTTCTTAGTTATTGGCCTTCCAGAAGTGTATTTGTCTTCTTAATGCTGTAATTCCTATCAGGGAGCCAGGATGACTAGTATTTCTATGGGCAGATGGGTTAACAAAATATAGGATGTTCCTGAAATTGTCATTCTTTGGAATGACATGTTAACAGAAGCCTGAGCCCTGGATTTGCCTTCATTAATAACAAAGAGAACTGTCACCATTCAAGCACTAAGGTGGGGTCACCACTGAGCTGAAAGTTTTAACTAGCTGGCACAGCAACCCTGAGAAGTGGGTACTGGGATCTCAGTTTTACAGGTGAAAAACTGAGGCTCAAAGATTCAAGGTCACACAGCTAATAAGTGGCAGAGTGGAACTCAAACCAGAGCTGCCGGGCTCCAGAGCCCACCTTGCAGACTTGGGTCTGAGACTTCTCTTCTCATCCTCCAAGGAGCAGTTCTGGAGCTGCCGGGCTCCAGAGCCCCCCTTCCAGCCTTGGGGCTAAGACTCCTCTCTTCATCCTCCAAGGAGCAGTTCTGATGTTTCATGGACTTACACTGGTGCTTTTTATACACATCTCCCACAAATTAAATCAGTAAAAATATAAAAAATGTGAATTTGTACTCATCTGTATGTCAGAACCTATCGAATATTTAGGAAATATGGCTGATCAGCATAAATAATTTAGATGTAAATTAGATGTCCTTTAAAAAAATCCCTCTGAAATGCATCTGCTAATTCAGATATGGTTATTTTCCAAGCAGATGAAACATCTTTTCCCTTGACTCGTCTTCCTAGCAATATATCTTTGAGGCATTAAAAAAAGAAAAAAAAAACACAGAAAGGCAAAATGCAGTCTATTCTTTACCATAAAATATTTCAAACAAAAAAATTTTCCGACTTAGTTTTTAAAAGATTTGCAAAATTAATCAATGCAAACATATGGCACAGAAATATCCTTTCTGATTAAAACCTGAGAATATAAACAGCCTGGTGTCTCTCATTCCTTCTCTTTCCCGTTACGAACCGTGTCTTAGTGTGAACAAGAACCTGTTCTTAAACATTATGTTCTTTATCTTCTTTCTTTTTCAACAGGGGACTTATCATGTTTGAAAATGAAACCTACATCTTAGAACCAATGAAAAATACAACCCAGAGATACAAACTCTTCCCAGCAAAACACCTGAAGAGCACCTGGGGACAGTGTGGGTTGCATTGTAACGCATCGGGCCTCTCTTCGGATAAGATGTTCTCGCTACCCTCCCACGTGTGGGCCAGAAGGGTAAGAAGGACACCTGATTTCGTGTTTCTGGAAAGCCAGGGACTCAAGCTATGGATACCCAAGGTTGGGACATCCAGAGGAACATTGCCATTGAGAGGCAGCATCTAGGGGGTAGAAGTGCGCAGTGTGTGCAGAGGCACTTGCCGTCCTGGGCTCAAGCATAACCACAGGCTGACTCTCCAGCATCAGCCTCGGGCTCATTAATACATTCTAGCTAGGCTGGTGCAGTGTTCATGCCTGTAATCCTAGCGCTCTGGGAGGCCAAGGCAGTCAATCCCTTGAGCTCACAGGTTCAAGACCAGCCTGAGCTAGAATGAGACTCTGTCTCTAAAAATAGCCGGACGTTGTGGCGAGCACCCGTAGTCCCAACTACTCAGTAGGCTGAGGCAAGAGAGTCACTTGAGCCCAAGAGTTTGAGGTTGCTGTGAGTTGTGATGCCACGGCGCTCTACCCAGAGTGATAAAGTGAGGCTCTGTCTCAAAAGCAAAAACAAACTATACACACACACACACACACACACACACACATATTATATATATACACATATATATACATATATTCTAACTAGAGTCACACAGTCTAGGGTCAGAGGATGACAAATCACCAGTCCTGAGATCTCCCATGAGACCCTACCATGGGCCTAACCCAGGGTTGGGCCACCATGGCAGCCTCCAGCAATTCTCTTTCTGCAGGAAGAGAAATACCACTTGGAGCTTTCTTCCTCAGCAAGTCTGGGTTCTCAGGATCATTTGCAGGAAATTCTGTCTGTGCCACGTGCAGGGGAGAATTGCATCCTGTCCACGTGGTGTTGCTGTAGGGTCTCACCCCTGGTCCAAGCTGCGAATGCCTGTCCCAGCTCCCCGTCGGCACTGTCCGAGCAGTCTGCCTTTCCCGGCCCCAGCCCTGGGTCTGCTCATAGGTCTCCCTTTCTGCTGCTGCCGTAAAGAACACAGCTGCCTGACTGAGTCTGCACTGCAGACGCAGTGCCCTCCCTGACACTTCACGTGCAACACCAGGGAACCCCCACCCGGACAGCTGCCCGTCCCTGTGCGGTCAGGTGGTTCTCTGCTAGCAAGGACCAAAGGGGATCCCCCTCCACAGTCGTCTAGACACCCTGAATCTAAATGAGGATGACCAGATAGAAAAATTATTAGCAATTTCCTGATCTTTCCTCTCTGGATTTCCTATTCCTCTATTGACAAGGAATCAAAAAAATTCATAGCTAGGATGTCACCTGTGCTTATAATTGACTGTCCGGACACACATTCTTCAAGGACCCTCTGTGCACATTTCATCTTTCCTAACTTTAACTTTAGTAAACCATTGTTTAAAATGCAACATTTCACAGTATTATTCGTGGATCATTCAAAATCATTTTTTAAAATTCAATAAGGATTATCCTGCATGATTTCTTCTCATTCTTAAAATTCCCTTCACCCCTGTGTGTGTCTGTTCCCCTAAACCACTTTGACCTAAACCAAACCATTTGAGGACTTTTAACTCAAGTTTTAAATTCATTCTTTTTGGTCCAGGCGTTCTGCTTGCGTCTCTTTGCTCTTGTTTCCCAGATTTTCTGTGGCAGGTGCTGGCCACTCTTTTTCTTTTTCCACACCCCTTGTCACGAACTTTCCCATCAGGTACAGCAAGGAGGGGGATGAACTGTCCCCTCAGGATGGTGTGTGGCAGGGAGGGGGATGAACTGTCCCATCAGGATGGTGGGTGGCAGGGCGGAGGCTGCAACCTCCCTGAGCTTGAAAATTATCCCCCCAACTCACCCCATCAGCTCAGGAGGATTTCATGCTCCCACCCCCCATCTGAGAGTGACAGATTTGCGAGCGAGAATCCCAGCGACAAGCCGCTGTGGTCCCTGGCATGTTTACTGCTGAAGCACTTTTCCTGTGATTCCTTGTAAGACCTGATTAGTCATAAACAAGCCCAGCGTTTGCATTTGGTTCTCCAGGCTCTCGGCTTTGACTGCCTTCTTGACTGCATGTCATCCACGTTATGAGATTTACAGCTTGACGGGCTAAACGACACTCAAATATGTTTGCTGTTGTATTTAGAAGTACAAACTTGGTCTGTACTTGCCAGCCATATTTTAACTTTCTTAGCTCACAGCTCTCTTGAACTCTGATATAATTTCCAGTCATCTGGACTTGTAGGGAAATGGGGAGAGCCGGGATCTCAGCACTGTTGTTAATAATGTGTATTGAAGTGCAAATGAACCTTTAAATTGAAAGAGAAGGCCTGCGTGCCAGGGCTCAATATTTCTCCCTAGAAATAAATACTTGTGATTGTTTCTATGGAATAGAAAGCACCCTGACACTAAGTGTGTGTATATAATAAAAACGGTACAAAAAATAATTCTGAAATAAGTGGAATGCTTAGGGATTGGTATTATATAGAAGATTGCTTTGGTTACCACCTGTGGTAAACATGAAAGGGACATTACCTGTGTCACTTATGCTGCCTTTATTTTACGCTTTGAGCAAGAGTGAGACTCAGCTGTAAAAAAAAAAAAAAGGAAAAAATAGCCAGGCATTGTGGCGGGCACCTCCTAGGCTGAGGCAAGAGAGTCGCTTGAGACCAAGAATTTGAGGTTGCTGTGGGCTATGATGCCACAGCAATCTACTGAGGGTGACAAAGTGAGACTCTGTCTGAAAAAAAATAATAATTTGTAGAGGATGGGTGTAACTGCAGCTGCCTCCCTGGTTTATGCAGCGAGGAGCCGCACTTGCTCTCTGCCGGCATTTCCCGCCCCGCTAAATGTTAACGGTTATGAAGACTGGTTTGCGGGCTGCGATGTTTCTGCAGATGTTTGCGTTTTTCTTCACGGAGCGTGGGGAATAAATCTGCACTCGGGGTACACGCGCTGACTAGAGCATAAACCTGCGCTACTGTTAGTCATTTTTACAGGACTCTACGTTAGATTTTAGTGAGCGCCCAGGGCGCCCCTCGAAGGGCACTGAGGGGCACGGAGTGTCACAGGCAGTCCCGTCCTCTGAGGAGTTTTAAGTCCACTCAGCTCACCCACGTCAGGCTCCCTTCTCTGTGGGCTCCGCATTCAACAAGGCAATAATTTTCACATCTGCCTAAGCAAGGATGGGGAAGGCAAAGGCGGGAATCTGCTGCTGGGGAAAATCACAGGACACATCCCTGGCGCAAACGTGAATTATTTCCGAATTATCCTTTCTGTAGGGATTATCTGTGCCATTGTTCCCCTCCTTAGTATGGACAATTGGGAGTCAAATATTAAAGTTGCTGCCTTCTCTGGAAAGACATGTTTGCTTGGGCTCCTGTGTAGGGCAGGACAGCGACTTAGGGAGATACCATGTGTTTCCTCGGATGCAGCCATCCTGAAATAGCCTAATGCGTTTATTTAATCGAAGCCACAGCAGTGGTGGTACTGTTAGTAGTAGTAGTAATATACATTATATGGAATGTGTTTATTTAATCGAAGCCACAGCAGTGGTGGTACTGTTAGTAGTAGTAGTAATATACATTATATGGAGAGCCTAGCAATGGCTGAATATCAGGAATAGGCCAGAACCATTTAGAAACAGGCTCCTTAGGGCAGGCACTTTTAACATATCCACACATACCTGCCCACACCTGCCCGCCTCCTCTGATAGACCCCACTGCCCGCCTTGTTCTCAGATGAGGCAGCACCCCTTCTCCGGCTCTGATTTTTCAATATCTCTTTGCGTAGCTGAGGTTTCAAATCTCCAGGCATGGACTCCTGCAAGTGTCAATCCATTAACATTCTGGATAAATAAATAACAGGCTTCACTTGTGCCACTGCTTTTTGGTCTTAATTTCAGCACTTCCCATTTGCCCTGTTAACTTCAGTTCATCAGACTCAATCCCCTCCTCTCAGCCCCTTGTTTCTTTTGCGTCACTCTGCCTGCCGCGTGCCAGCCAGGCCTCAGAGGCCGCAGCCCTCGTGAATTCAGTCCATGTGCTTTGTCCCTGGGGGAATCATTGACAGGGATGATGGAGGCAACCTTTCCTATCTGGGATCAAGCTCAACTTGCAAATATTTGTGAAGTGACCTGAGAGTCAAGGCCGGGAGCCACGCTTGAGCTGATAATAATTATCCCCCTGATAATAATTGTCCCTGGCTCAGAGCAAACAGAGCAAACGTGGGATTCATTGAATGTGCAGAGCCTGCCAGCTGTGGAAACACCGGCCCTGGCCCCGTGGCTGTTTTTCTCGTGCTGTCTGGTTATGTCACAGCCCACTTGCCACCATCCATCGTGATGACGACCTCCAGCCCTCACCTGCTCTCATCTACACAGCTGAACGGCCTCCTCTCTGTGCTCCCAGCTTCCAACGGCATCCCCTCGGAACCCATTCCACTCCCAGCAGCCAAGCCATTTCTTTATAATCTCACATTCCAGGGCTCCCATGCTCTTAGACACTCAGGCTTCCTTCAGCCTCCTCACCTTGGCCCCTTCACCCCATCCCCATCCTCAGCCTCTTCGCATCCACTCTTCCCCTCACTGGTGGACTCCAGCCACACCACCTGTTGCTCCAACACCCAAGCTCTCCCCAGCCTCAGGACTTCCACAGCTGCTGTTCCACCTCCCTAAAACACGGTTCCAGCAACATTTTCCACACATACCTGTACTGGGGCCAAGGGAACTTCCTTCTTGCTCTCTGGGGGTCTGCTGAAGAATCAGCTTGCAAAAGGCAGATTGATTAGAGACGGAGCATAAGAAGCATACATATTTATTTACCATATTTACACAGAACCCTTCAGAATGAAGACCCAACCTCTCAGTGGGGTGCAAAAGCTCATACCATCAGGGAGTTATAAAAACAATGGGAGCTTGGATCCTGGCCACACAGGTTATGGGGATCAGGGAGAAGGGGAATTCTGTTGGGGGGACAATAAATGACTATGGGGAGAGTTCAGTGGGCTTAAAGAACAAAAGCCCACTTTGAAGCAAAGGCTGTTGGGCCCACAGAGCAGATGGTGGCTTATTACAAAAGCCTGTCTAGGTCTCTTACTAGGCATCAGTCTTCTCTCCTGTGGCCTGTGCTCAGTTCACAGAGACTCCAGGAAGGGAGCAGCGGGCGCCGTTGTCGTCATCTTTGATAGGTCTGGACGTTAGGCAGATGAGGAACTCAGAGAATCCTGTGCTGGGGGAGAGACAGTGGGGTTGGGGAGATCACACAGATCTTGGGCCCCGTCTTTAGCTCAGCATGTACAAAACTCTGGATTGGGGGCCTCAGATTCTGAGCCCCAGCACCTGCTTCTCACCCCTCGGGTCCCAGAGAACTCAGCCCCTCGCCCAGCCTTACTGCAAACCCTGTTTGTTTCCTCCATTGCACTTTTCACACACCCCCCCCTTGTCTGTGTTAGTTCTGTGTCGTCTCCCCTTCTCCCAACCCCCCACTCCAGGGGCAGGAACCTTGGGATTCTCGTGCATCCTATATCCACAGCACCTAACACTGGGCCTAGCGCATAGCCTGCTCCCAGGAGATACTGTGGGGTGAATTATCCTTTGCAAACCTGGCCCGTGTGAAGGAAAGGCTGCAGGAGGATTTACTGGGGCCTTCATCTCAACTCGCTTTTCTAACTCAGGTTCCCAGTGCCAGAGCTCTCACTGCAGGCTATGCGGAGGATATCTATCCCCGGGAACTTGGCTGTGATGGCTTTGAGAGGCCCAGGAATTGGTTCCGTCTTGAGCAAGACTCAAAGAATGCCTTGTCTCCACCTTGGAACAGAGGCTGTCGGGCCAACCTCTCAGGCTTGGGGAAGGGCCTTTGTTCAGAACTCAAAAAATGAAAATCAACCAAGCAACAAGTTTCAAACGTTGCTCTCTATATCACAAATTTAAAATGAGATTTTTCAAAAACTGGGCAGCCCAGATAGGTGGGAATCACGTGAGGGTAACTTAAGCCCTGCTCTGTACCAGCAGCTGAGAGGGGAGTGAACCTCCGGGGCTGCGAGCCGGCCACTCCCCCGCCCTGTTTTATTATTATGTGGTTAAGCTTCTCTCTGAGCTTGCAATTCTCTGAATTCATGAGAAAATTTGGACTCCTCTGAAAACTGCAGAGACAGGAAAATTGTGCTCATGTGTTTGTTTTCATTATCTGGAATTGTGTATTTTCTAAATGATGATCCAAAGCCAGTTGGAAATATCCCCTGCCCGTTTATTCCACCCCACTGTAGGCTGAAAAGTGTAAACGTCTAAACATCCTGAGTCCTTTCGATGAGTTTTTCAGTAGGGAGTTAATTTATTTTTTCATTTATAGAGCTATATTTTCTCCTGCATAATTAGCTGAATTTGTTAATGGCTAGTCGGGGAATTGTGGGCAACAGGGAGAATTGTGATCCTTTCACACCCGTTGAGGAAAGGGGCAAGAGCTTCGCGCTTCTGAAGGTGTCTCATTTTGTGTGTTCCCGTGGGTACCAGGGGAGCTCATTTTTTCCCTTTTGAGTGACATAGTTATCACCTCCAAAGCATGCCTACAGCATACAGCAGCAAAGCAGGACACTTTTTTTCCTTGTGACATTGTAAAAACAAGAGAAGTTATCCCTTTCGTGGTGCTTTATTTTCTCTTCCTCCATAAGCTTCCCAGATTTCTTTAGGGACACCTAAATTCATGAATCAGCACAGCTGGGCAGCAAGAAGGAATACAGCGATGATACAAACATTTTTCTTGTAAAAATCTGTTTGGAAGATCCTGGGCTGATGGAGATTTGCTTTATAAAGGATGTTTCCCTTGGGGTTATGTGACTGGAAACCCAATTCGAAGCATGTTTCACTCATCTCCCTCGCCTTTGTCTCAAAGACTGATTAGCTGTAACACACAGGCTCTAAACTGCAAGCGCTGTATGTAGCTAACTCATAAAGCCGCAGCATCCATCATGGGACCAAAGGCCAGTTCAACCCCCATTCCCTCCAATGGCATTTTATTGCAGAAACAGAAGGCTTTGATTTTTGTTTTTCATGTTTGGTTTTTGAGACCACCCTCCACGAATTGCTTTATTTCTCCTAAAAATGCCTCTGGGATTCACCCAGTAATTCACAGAAGCATGCGAATGCTTTTTGAGGAAGTTTGATTAAAACATAACCAGCTTCCGAGGCTGCCTTTCTGGGAACGAGAGTCGTATTCCTGCCACCTGAATGCCCTCCGCCCCTCTACCTTGATAACCACTTTCCATGTTCTTCTCAACTATTTTGCTCTTATAAAATCTGTATGCTCCAGCAACAGATTTGACTGATTGTAATCTTTTTTTTTCCTGCTTAACCACTGTTTTTTCCTGTGTCTCTCCCTTTGGTCCCGTCTGTTATTCCCCCCCATTCTTGCCTGCCTGCCTGCCTGTCTGTCCTCCTGGCTGCCCTCTTTTCTCTAGACCACTCCAGTCTTTGATTGCTAACGAGGTCTTTAAATGATCATTTTCAAATAATTATGTGGTTTCTGTTCAAAATATATTCTCCTCCACTTTTCCCAAGTCACAAAACAGGCTCATCTGGACCATAAAGATGAAGGGAGCATCCATGGAACATGGAATCCCATCGTCTTTCTTAGTGATCTTCAAATGCGCTGCGTGTGCTCTGACGTGGCAGCCCTGGACTGGTTCCTGCTCCAGAGAGAGCTCTGGTGCTGTTTTATTATATGCCCGTTTTGTTTAGCAACATCTTGACTTTCTGTGATCCTACAACTGATGATTCAGCAGAAAGATGTTAAAATCTTTTTTAAGGATTTCCCAAATCAAAATAGAAACTGGTCACTCATGTTGAAGGGTTTTTGTAAAGAGATTGTTGAGGTTGGGGTTGATCTGCCAGGTGGACTAGAGGAGACGGGAGGGGACAGAGTCTCACCTTGAAGTAGGCAGAGTAAAAGACATTGACAGGGTTCTGAAGCCCCGGAGAGGCATCACGGGAAATTAAATTTGTGTTTACTTTTGACAGCATAAAAGAGAGACCCTCAAGATGACCAAGTACGTAGAGCTGGTTATTGTTGCGGACAACCGAGAGGTAAGAACTTTTTGAAATCTCTGGGTGCAATTGGTTAAAGGAAAAAAAAGGACAGGAAATGATTGGCAGCTAATCCCTACTTGCTCTCCTGCTTTAATTAACTCATAGTCTACGTGCTCCTGAAAGCACTGGAAACCGTGCATTTAAAAAAGTGGTTTTATAAAGGATACAATATTAAAAATGTATCTGAACCTATTTTTTAAAAATAGCAAAGCCTGCAGAAGGGACAGAGCAGCTCTGTACTTACACTTTCAAAACGCGGCGAATCGTTTAGGGAGGTGACTAGTAGCTTTGGATTATATTTTAAAACATTTTGGGGGGAAAATTTAGTTTTCAAAATGTCTGGTGAGTTCTAAACCAAAAGGAACGAGGGAAAAAACGACCAAATGGAGGCTGAAGAGACACCGCAGAGAAATCCTACCCACCTTCCCTCTGCTGTGGCTTGACGGTCTGGTTAGTTTTACCTCGGAATTAATTTTGAATTAGTTGTTTTTTCAGATTATCTTTTCTGTATTTATTGATTGACACGGTATGAATTAGGTGACATTTTCTCATAGATTCATTCAACACACATGAATGAAACAGGCTCGGCAAGTTCTCAGAGAATTGGAAGGTTTCTGAGAAGCCTTCTGGATGGTCAGAGTAGAGAGGACAGTGGGGAGTTCATTAATTTTTTATCCATTCTCTTCTGCGTTCTTGGACATGTTTCCATGAGCTCCTGTTACTTTAACTATTTAATTCTTAAAAACTGTAAAGCAAATTTCTCAGGAAGTTAACATGAAGTTGATGATATGAAAAATGGCTTTGGGCTGCTTGCTAGTTGTCTGTTTCTACTTTGCCAAAACATGTCACTGCCTCCATCATTTATGAGGCTGGGAAATCACAGAAGTCATTGTCTGAGGAGCACTTGGCTCGGGAGAATTTCAGGGAGTTTCTAGGCGTCCTCAGCCAGGGAAATTTCTCGGCAAGATTTGAGCTTGTTTCACCATAAGCCATGGAGGGTCCTGGGTGGTTTAAAAAGCCCAAGACTTTACATTCCCAGGAACTGGGAAGATGAGATTTGACTGATATTCTTGCTGTTATTAATACTGACATTTAAAATTATTAAGTTCCAGAGGCAAGGAAAAGATCTGGAGAAAGTGAAGCAGCGATTAATAGAGATTGCTAACCACGTCGACAAGGTAAGTTCTTTCTCAGGTAATTGAATTACTCAGATGGCGTAAATGTTTGGAAATGAGGTTGAGGGAATCAAGTGCTGTATGAGAATCAGCAAGGAGACCAGGCCCTGGGCTGGAACTCAGATTCCCATTCTTGGAGCACATAACTCCTGGGTCCTGGAGTGGCATTAGGAGGTGCCAAACCATCGCTGCCTGGGCTTGGGTGGCCTTGGGGACACAGCTTTCTCCAGGTTCTCTCCTGGCCAGGAACGGTCCCAGTCTGCAGAGATCTGGGGCTCCCACGTCAGGTCCAGAGCCCTCCAGTGTGCGTCCAACCCTTCTAACTCTTGAGCGAGGCCCCACCCAGGTCCCCCTGTGGAGAATCCCACAGACCCCTTCAACTCTCCCCATCTCTGCAGGCCTGTGCCCATGTGGCCCCGAGCATGGGCTCTCATTGAAAAGTCACACATGGGTCAATTTTCCAGGGACCCAGAAACTGACCTTTAGTTCAATCAACTGTTGGAAACTCCCCCACCAAGAACAGGTAGATCAGAAACACTTTTCACAAAGATGATGTCCCAGCAGAGTGCGGGGGCTCACGCCTGTAATCCCAACACTCTTGGAGGCCAAGGCGGGTGGATCTTTTGAGCTCAGGAGTTCAAGACCAGCCTGAGCAAGACCCTATCTCTACTAAAAGTAGAAAAACCAGTCAGGCCTACTGGCAGGCACCTACAGTCCCAGCTATTCAGAAGCAAGAGGCTGAAGCAAGAGGGACACCTGAGCCCAGGAGTTTGAGGTTGCTGTGAGCTATGACCACATGGCATCCTACCCAGGGTGACAGAGTGAGAGTCTGTTTCAAAAAAAAAAAACAAAAACTGATGTCCTTGCTGGAGAGCCCTGGAAATCTGGCCTAACCCTGGGGGCATTTGCCCACTAGCTGCTCCCCACACTGCCTGCTGGCATGGGAATGGTGAAGCTGACTGTCCAAGCCTCTGTCCTGCACCAGCACAGGACTCTCCCCCTAACGCAGGTTCCCACACGTGCCTGCACATGGAGTTGCCCGGAGTTTCCAAGACAGGGGCTGGATATCAGTGTTTTCAGAGGCTCCCCGGCAATTCTCATGTGCACCGTGGCTGGCAACCACAGACCTAAAACAACAGTAGCTTCTGAGTGACGCTGTGAGTCCTGCCCACCAGGACGGTGGGAGAGGGAGAGGGCGTGAGCCCTTCACACACAGCCAGGATCCTCGGGTTTTCCACAAAGCCGTGCAGGAGAAAGCATCACAGAGCTTTGTTTCCAAGCCATCCTGTTATATTTGAATAGGGTTTTCTAAGTTTTTAGAAAAATGAAGGCAAAGGCCCTTCCAGAAATTCAGCTCCATGATACACAAGGCCTTATGCATGGAACCAAGCACCATGCATCAAGAATTCAGAATGAATCACACACGGCCCCTCAACTTAAGATCGTCAAGACTTCGTAGAGAAGCAGACACACAAAGCACTTAGCATGGTCCGAGGCATGACCGGGCATTTGACGCTGTGAACTGAGGTTGTGGAAATGCAGAAGGAGAATCACCTCCTCCTTCCCGGGGGCAAGGAGCCTTTGCAGGAAGGGGACCTATAAGGTGAGTGCAGTTTCACCAGGCAGAGTAGGACAGGGCCAGGCGTGCATTGCACAAGCTGGACGTGGCGAGCAGCTCCTTAGGACTGAAGGGAGTGCGTGCATGTGTGTGCCCACTTTGTGCACGTGTGTTCCCGTGTATGTGTGTGCACATGTGTGTTCATGTGTGTGCATTTGTATTCATGGACTGAGATGCTGTTCTGCTCCCCTGGGCATGCACGCTCATGCATGTGCGTGTGTGTCTAGGTGTGTACACATGCGTGTGATTTGTAGATACATGCACAGCTAGGGAGGAGGGAGTGAAGCTGCAGGGATCCACCCGTGGCTCTGGACTGCCCCCAAAGCTGTCTCGGTTTTATTCTGCTATCAGTGGAGAGGCAGGGGAGAGACACAGAATCAGACAGAAATCTCCCTGAAGTAGGCGTGGAGAGTGGAGTAACCACAGACAAACAGGCTGGGCAGGAGCCAACCGCACAGAAATGATAAAGGCCTGACCAGGGAGGGTCGGTGGAGACGTGAGAAGGACAAAGGTTCAGAGGCATTCGAGATGCAGTTACTGACCCGTGGTTTTAGCAGTTGCCACACACCGGGCGCTGAATGTATTGCTCATACTCACACGCAGGCTCTCTGTTTCCATTTTTGGAGCAGAAGAGGCTGAGGTGTGCAGAGGTTGTGATTTGCAGGACCAGGAGGGAGCAGACATGGCCTTGGTTTAGCTGCCCTTGCTGTGAGACTCAGGACCCCATGGCCAAGCTGAGGGAAGTGGGAGTCCAGAGTTGGGGGGACACACTGAACAGTCAGGGATCTGGGCCTGGCTCTCAGAGAGAGGCTATGACTGATGGAACCTTCTAAAACTCAGGAAAACACACAGGGTCATCGGTATGGTATCACCCTTGCCCCCTGGCCGCCCAGCTTGTGGGTGTGTTTTCAGCAGCTACTCTTTGCAAAGTAAACTTCATCACAAAATCAGGAGGAGGAGATCCCTGGTGAAAGGTGCGTCCTGCTGCCAAAGGGTGGACAGGAGTCAAACTGCATAGCAGTCCAGGCTGCTGTGCAAATCCCAGGCATCTGTGTGTCAATTTCTTTGTATGTTTGTTTACTTTTGGAAACACTGACTCCTGAGTCTCAGCCCCTGGGTTCCAATTTTATCACAATTCAATTGGCCCAGAGTGGAGCCTGGGCACTGGTGCTCCCGGAGTCGGAGAGACACGGACTGAGGCTGAAGGTTCGGGTGCCTGAGCCTCCAGCCCTGGCCATCACCCCAAGGCAAGCAAGTTGGACCTTGCCGGGAAGGGCTTGGACTGTCCTCAGACCACACAAAAGGGAGAGGACAAGAGGTCTTCTTAGGCTTTGGGAGGAAAAGCAAGTGATGAACTATAGTAAACCCGAAGCGGAAATTGCTGAAAACCCATTCTTTAAAGTGATACGTTTTGGCCCTCAGTGTTTGCACTTTTTACATTTTACTCTAGGTTATACCTCACTTCAGTTCGCAGAACCAAAAATGAGCAGTGAGGTCGCTAGTAATATATACTGTTAATTAAAGAACACCTCGCCACTGAAGACCCCTGATGGTCGGCGGAGGGTGCCCTCCTGGCCACTCCTGGGTCTCTGGTGGGCAGGGAGCCCGTTTGCTGAACACACAAACACGTCCGGCCCTGGCAGCCTTGGCTGCCCTGGCAGACCCCAAAGGCCTGGTGGGGGCCCTCCAACTCCTTAACGGACTTTGTGTCCAAGGCTGTCATCTGGTGGCCCTGGCTCTGTTAAGTGTTCCAAATGTCAGTTTTGCAATTCTACGAGTGGACGTGCTCTGCCTGAAAATGATGACTCCCGTCCTGTGGCACTTTCCTCATTTGCTGCCCTCGTGGCTCTCCTGGGCCATCCGAAGTTGATAACCACTGGGCTGTGTTGGGACAGAGAGGACAACCCAAGCTGGAAGACACGGAAGTGATTTAATGAAAAGGTGACCTTCTGGGACATCCAGGAAATCCCTGATGTGTGTAACCCAGAACACTTGCACCACTGGCTCCTGTACTTGGAGGACAAACTCTGGACACTTATCCCAGGTCCCGGTTCCTGCTGAGGACTCAGCTGCCTTAGAGGACAGGATCGCTGCCAGCTTGCCTCTTTGACCCTTCTCCTCCCATCCGCCTGCCTTCTTGTTCGCTAAGGGGTGACACCTGCTGTGGACTAAGTGACTGGTCTGAAAGGACTCCCCTTCTGGGTATTTCATTGCTCTGAGCGTCTTCACTTGTGTGGCAGTTTTCCTTCCCTCTTCCCTCAAACCAGTTGCCTGTAGCCTACACATTCCTTTGGAGGACCCAGGGGATTCCACCCCCTTATTTCTTCCTAAAAGCCATGTGTCGACCCCTCCCGTACAGCATCCCTGGACATCCGTTTGCACAATTGCTCAGCAGATCACCAAATTGGAGTTTAGTGGAGTAATGGCTGAGCCTTCTGGGCCATAACTTCTGGTGGCCTTTGAGCATGTGGGTAGCAGTGGTGAGAGCATCCTCAGCTCTGCTCTCTGCTGGCGCCCCTCCCCTCAACTTCAGCTGAAATGAGTTTTTCTCCTCTGTGGGCATGTGTTAGTTCATCCACTGCTTCACAGTGGCGCTAGTTTAGGAGAGGAGATTGTACGTTCTATACCACAAAGTATAAAGTCTGTTCTAAAGATGTAGTTGGGGGCAGCCAATGGGAGGAAGACAGAATCCATCATTATTATGAAAAGCTCCTGGGTTAGTAACCAGCAAACTTACCACTGAGAAATGACGGCAATTAGTTTTTTGCAGACCTTAATTACTGCTTCCGTACAACACCCTGGGGAGACAAACGCAGAGTCCCCTTCACAGAGGACAACCCTGAAGCCCAGGCAGGGTATTGCCTCTGAGGACATCTCTTAACAAGCTGGCATCAGCAACACATCGCGTCAAACCCACTCTGCTGTCTGCTCACTGTTACCTTTGTGGGTGATATAGCTGAAAATGTCACTCCTCAAAGGATGGCAGCCAGACCTGAGCATTCCCAGGTGCAGAGCAGTCCAGGGATTTAATTTTGCCTGGGAAGCCTGAGAGGGACACTCCGAGTAGATGCACAGGCCACACAATTCTTGATTAAAAACACACTGTTGGTCGGGACTTGAGTCACGTCATCCTGTCATTACTCATTAATGTCATGTTCGTAAGTGTTATCTGTTTGAAACCAAGTGGGACCGAGGCAATCAGTTTATGTTCTGTGATGTGGTTTGTTCTCATGCTCTTCTGCTGACCCAATGCTCACATGACGGTGGGGACCAGCGAGGGGAACCAGCGAGGGGAAGGGCAAGCCTTATGTGGGCTGGAATCTGGGGCTCTCCACATTGGAATGGCGCTTCACTGCCAAAGACAGAGCCTCAGTGACTTTGGTGCTCAGTGGACAGAGGCTTCTAGCAACTGAGCACAGAACCAGCTGACACCTGGAGCTTGTGTGCAGCTGTTATCACCAGCCACATTTTTCTCCTGGGCTACCTGGGGGTTCAGAGGTGAGGGCTCTCTCCTTGTGTGCTGCCTGTATGTGCAGGCCATGGGAAGGCTTTGCAGCCAGCCAGTGGCCCCACATCCTCATGCCCTCCACCCTGAGCACAGAGCCATCTCCCTGCTGAGTGATGCATGTCCATACCTCTACCCAGTCACTCATCCCAACCCCTGGGCTTCTATGAGACAAACCATCCCTCAGTCATTGGAAGACTTGCTTTCCTTCCTCTCCCAGGTCTATCTTCTTGTGGAGTATGTGCTGTAGGCTGGAGTCAGGAGCACCCGAGGGTGGGGACAGCCAGGGGATGAGAACATTTACGTTGAGTGGTATGTCCACAAGCCCGTGAAAGAGGCACTTCATTTAATAGTCTTTCCCTAGACGGCGTTGGTGAGCTAACTCCTGGCTGTGGCGAGAAGAATGGTCATTACAGCCCTAAAGAAGGGCTCTGTTTATGCCTTTACCATTCTGTAAAGTACTGACGTTTTCATCTAATTGAAGCCTTCTAGGTTGATTATAGGTAACAGAAAATCACAGTGTCAGCCAACGCTGAGTCCTCACTCTAAAACTAATACAGACTCATTGTCAGTAACTCATAGAACGTTTTGCTTAAAATGAACAAATTATTGTTCTTGCCAGAAGTGTCGAAAGATCCAAATTCACTCATTGTTTTTCTTGCTGTGGAAGTTAACTAGAGTCTTTGGCTATCATATATGTCTATGTGCCCATTTTAAATCACAGATGAATCATTTGAAATGTGCTTCCAGCAGACAGTGAAAAGTCTCAACCCTTCAGCCTCTGATTGGTCAGCGCGTGGGAATCCAGTGTAGCACATCACTGTGCACCAGGCACGGCAAACCTTTCTAATGCCACCGGAAAAAGTGGCACAGAGATGTTTTTCTCAGTGATGTCCATGAAATCCAAACAATGCAAGTCTCTTTTCATTTTAATTTTTCATGAATGTGATCCCCAAAGAATGCCTGTTTCCCCCAGTTTTACAGACCACTGAACATCCGGGTCGTGCTGGTAGGCGTGGAAGTGTGGAACGACATTGACAAGTGCTCCATAAGTCAGGACCCGTTCACCAGCCTCCATGAATTTCTGGACTGGAGGAAGATGAAGCTTCTACCTCGAAAATCCCACGACAACGCACAGCTGATCAGGTAAGGGGTCCTTTTTCTGCTTAAAGAGACAGCGCCCCCTGTAACCCTCTCTCCTCCTGGCACCACCAGCCTGGCCCCAGAGCCACACACCTTCCTGAAAAGCATGCTATCTTGAACAGGGGCGTCCTCAGCTCACATCAGTGGGGCAGACGCCACACCTGCCTGAAGTTGCCAGGTCTGTTAGGGAGACTCTTTGGACGCCCTCTTCACAACTCTCATTTCCTTCCTTCAGAACCTGGACATTTTTCCTAGGCCAATTTTTCTGGTCTTAGTCTTGATATAAAGTTATCCTGAGTAGGCTATTTTTTTAAGTCTGTTTCCTTAGATTATTAATGAAAAAATATGTGTTTATATAAGATCTAAGTACAGTTCATTGGGGTGAATATTGTCCAGTGAGAAAAAAAAGTGCTCATCCCTTGTCCTGTTTGGGCTGTTACTCATTTGTGTTCTAGATCAGAGCACGATAACTTGTGTGCCTTCTTTACATCAGTATGTATGGGGGACATGTTAGGAAGCAAACCAGGTTTTAGGAGCTTTGGACACAATGGTGGCCAACACCATAAATGTCCTGCTCTCAGAAATCTCCAGTTTGCTGGAAGAAAACATTAACAAGAAAATTCCAGAGAGTGATGGGTGTCGTGCAGATAATAAACCATGGTGAAGCATAGCCGTACCATAACATAACAGACTGGTGAGGCATTACAGACACCTTTATGTTTAAAAGAAAATAACAAGCCTTTAATAGTCTGAACTGGTATTAAATAGTTATTTCCAGAGTGACGAATTTTTACTTAAATTTTTCAACAATTCTGTTATTCTTTTGTCCTCATATAGCTTTTATCACCAAAGCGAAAGCTTCGGGGATAGACACAATTTCCTTTGGTGAATCAGGTCTAGCTTATTGAACGTTTATGGAAAACTAAAAAACCTGATCCCTCCCATTCTGACTTTGAGAAGTGCCCACCTCTGCAGGGCGGCTGTGGGCATTCCCTGGGAATTCATTCTGGCCACTTTCACAGGGGTTTCTCCCTCCCTTGGATATCTGCGGTTGCCTCACTTTTTATGCATTGATTAGTCCTGAACTACTAAAATACATTTGATGTGCCTTGATTGAGAGCGTTTCATTTTGATTTTTTTCCCAAATGGAGTCTGTCCAATTTGAACATCTGGAAATAAGTTAACATCTTATATAGCTTTATTCTTTATATACATGTATAATTGTATCTGTTCAGATGCGCTCTCTCTCTCTCTCTCTCTCTATATATATATATATAGTCTGAAATTTCTACTACTGTGAGTGTGAGGATAGTGGGATAGGTACGGGCATATAGATGGATGGATGGATAGATGAGATTTTATATACATTTGCTACCTTCTGTCTAATTGACCATGGCTGAAATATCTAACTTTTAAACAATACATGCATTATCTGTCTATATACATGGCCATGATTGCATTGGTAAATCATTTGATTCCTTTAAAGGATATTCAACAAATACAATGCTTAATTTTTCATTCACAAATTTGGAATTAGCAGCATTTTCATTAGACAGGCCTTTGACATGATTAGATTCAGGTCAAGATTCCAGGTAGGAGGAAGCCTGCGCCAACCCACGACGTCCCCTTCCAGAAGCCTCCTGGGTGCCAAGGCTTCGTGGGTGCTCACTTATTCTTCCCCAGCTCCAGCAGGTTGACCACTTTCCTGCCAATTTCAGTTCTGCAAGCAATATTAGCAGGAAATTTCAAAGGAGTCTGGGTTTCGGGCAGAATTATAGTGAGTTACCCAGGAAAGCAAAATTCAGCCACAAGAGAGCATCTAATAAACCACCTAAGACGCGTCTTTGAGTTAACAGTGGTGCTCTGTGATTCTTTTCAGCCTTTCCATCAACAGACACTATTTAAATGGGGCAGCTCCCTAGGGTCCGTTAGGAAATGGGCAGGAAATAACTTATAAGTGAAATGACTAGTCATCGTCTCAGTCTTGAAAACAAAACTCTAAAAGGATGACGGGACCATGATGCAACTACCAAAGCAAAATCCTAAGAGGAAAAAATCCAAAGCATGCGTAAACATACCGTCATTAGCTATTTTTATTTTTGCATATTCTGTAGCAAAAATGTCCAATAGAATTTAAAATAGTAGACAATGGCTTCAATCTATATTCAATGAAAGAAAGCCCTCTCTTTTATTTCCTAGTGGGGTTTATTTCCAAGGGACCACCATCGGCATGGCGCCCATCATGAGCATGTGTACCGCGGAGCAGTCTGGGGGCGTCGTCATGGTAAGCCCAGGACAGCAGGACCTGCTATCCCTTGTCAGTGATGCCCCAGAGAAATTGCTGCTCTGGACTCGCTTTGTGACGCTAGGTCCTTTCCTTTAATGCTTTTCCAGTTGAATTCTGCCCTTACTCAAGCTATGTTTACAATCTTACATAGCTGACACTATTTTAGGTGCTGTTTATAATAGAAGCACAAGTCGCACACACACAGGAGAGGTGGTCATGTGGAATAGCTCAGAGAAGTCATACATGTCCCTTTTGCAGCCAGGACTCTCCAGCCTAGGAATTCCTTCTACATTGGGGTGAGCCAGGGCATGGGGCTGCCCTCATCATGCAGCTCCATGGGGAGGCACGCCGTCTCGCCAAATGTTCCTCCCAGCCCAACAGCCAAAAGTCTGAGGTTTTTGACTTTTTACCACCGCAAATGCTTTACATACCTTCTGGCCGGTGTACAATTTGTCTTTAAAATAACCTTATTCTTGGAAGGCAGAGACCCAGGTTTATTGCTTTACGAGGATAATTTTGTCATATATGGGCTATATATGTTTGTGAAAGGAAGTAAAGTGGGAAGAATATTTGGGACTTCTTACGAATTTAAGAGGACGGTAGCTTTGATGGCTGCCCAACAGGGGACTCCAGCTCTACTGCACCAGATCATTAAAGGAGAGGTTTCCACCCTCCGCTGTCCCCGTTTTGAAAATTTAGTGCCCCTGTGCACCAGCCCTCAGACAGGGAGTGTCCTCAGAGACCGTTCCTCCAGCTCCTTTAAACAAACAGAGCCCCGTCCTTCCAAGAAACCGTGAGTTCCTCCACATTTTTTAAACAGAACGTTTGTGAGCATTCAGCTGGATTAAAGGATGGAAGGAGTTATGTTCTGCTGACTGTGACTTTCTCCCCGTACTGCCTAATCAAATCTTCTTAGCAAATATACATAACAAACATTTTCCTCTTGTCTGGGTGCAGCGGCCAGTAATTAATGTAAGCCTGTGTGAAATGTATGAGCTGTTTGGAGGGCGGCACCCACTCCCTGGGTTTCTGGCTTCAGTGGGCTGCCGTCTGGGTTTCTGAGAACGGAGAAGCTCTGTATGTGATCTCCACCATGGAAGTCATTGGAAAGTTCGGTTTCTGTTAGTGCCAGGTTAATTTCTAGTCAGATCCCAACTGTATTTTTACAGAGCCGCCTGTAAATTTTTAAGAGGGAGTAATTTTCTGTTTCATGGTTCCACAGTCAGTTGCTACTGACTTTGCCGCCTACTGTTGGCATAAATATTTTTTTAGAGCTGCAACCTCATTCTTTGTAGGCATGGCAGGTTCTCCTGCATTGGTGAAATGCTCCTGTCACCCATCTGACCGTTTAAGCAGCTTCCTTCAGCTCACGTCCCTTGTCGTGTTTTTATATGAACGTTTTATCAAGATTCCTTCTTTAAGAATAAACATGGAAGCCCATTGTTAAAAAATATATGTGGAAAATAAATGTGAGGAATATAAGCAAATTATGTATAATTCATTAAGAAGTCATCAGGAAGTCAGTTTTACCCCTTGACAGCAGTTAGCATCACCCTTAGACACCTGTGCGTTCCACAGATTAGACAAACATCACATAGGATAGAAATGCTACGTCACCTTGAATTTCTATAAAATTCATGAGATCAGCAAGGTCAACATCTTGACCAGACCTAAACCTTCTAGACCAGTGGTTCTCAGCCTTCCTAATGCTGCAGCCTTTGAATACAGTTCCTGTATTCTGGTTGCACGACCCACAGGTTGAGAACCGCTGTTCTAGACTAACTTTCTCCAGCTGTGTCTCTGAAGATAAATTTATAAGTGTTACACGCCATCATGCCTCACTCAAGGACTCACAAACCTAAGAGAAGGAAATACACAGCAAGAAGCAGGAGTTCTCACGGAACTGAAAACATGATGTCTGGTGCCGTTTCTCTATCTTCCAAAATAGAGCAAATCATCAATTTTAGTAACTTTGAAGCCAGACCTTTGTATCCAACTGGCCTAAAAGAGTCTTAGTTTGGGGCTAATACCATGATGGAGAGTTTTCTTCTTATTACAGGTGTAAACTGTGTATCGGGCTCTTAAGAGACATTCTGTTTATAATCACTTATGCATGAAAGAACGTAAAAGAGTTTGGCAGTCAAAAGCAAAACCGAGATATTCTGTGATACGGAAGAATCAGAAGTAGAGTATTTTTTAGGAATGAATTTCTTCAATTTTGTGCCAAAGCCTGCTAAATTCAGCCCTCCGCTTTCTCAGACTGGCTACATTCTCTTTGCCAATGTGTGTTATTCTTGAGAATGGATTTCCTGAACATATTTGTAGAACTTTCTACAACAGGAAACTGCAAAATCTAAACAAGGTAATTTATTAGGAATTTCCTCTATTCAAGGAATAGCTTGATTCCTTGACACGCTGCTCTGTTGTTGGGCTGAGCCTAGTTAACACCACCAACAAACTTGTGAGACTTTACATGGAACTGCCTTTCTCCAGAGGCCTCACAAAACTGTACCAGGAATAACATTTTCTCTAAAATACAGCATCATACTTATCTCAGTCCATTTCTGTTGCCTTTAACAGAATACCTGAAGCTGGGTGATTTGTAAAGAAAAAGAATTTATATTTTATAATCACAGAGGCTGAGAAGTTCAAGCTCAAGGGGCCACATCTGGTGGGGCCTTCTTGCTGGCAGAAACTCTACAGTCTACAGAGTGCCAAGACAGCGGAGGGTATCACATGGCAAGGGGGGGCTTTATGAAACCCCTAGACCCTCTCCCATAATAACACATTAATCTGTTAACCCATCAGTTCAGAGGGCAAAGCACTATTATGGCACAATGGCCTCTTCAAGGCCCCACCCCTCAGGGCTGCCATATTGGAGAATAAGTTTCAAATACGAGTTCTGGAGGGGACAGACATTCAGACCACAGCAGCACCTCCCCCTGGAAGCCTCTTGGAAAAGCTATTCTCTCTTTCCTGGGGAGCACAAAGTGAGACACACATAAGGCAACTTCTTTTTTTTTTTTTTTTTTTTTTGAGACAGAGCCTCAAGCTGTCCCCCTGGGTAGAGTGCCGTGGCTTTACAGCTCACAGCAACCTCCAACTCCTGGGCTCAAGCGAGTCTCCTGCCTCCGCCTCCCAAGTAGCTGGGACCACAGGCGCCCGCCACAACGCCTGGCCATTTTTTGGTTGCAGCCGTCATTGTTGTTTGGCGGGTCCGGGCTGGGGATTCGAACCCGCCACCTTAGGTGTACGTGGCTGGCGCCTTAGCCGGTTGAGCTATAGGCGCCGAGCCAGGCAACTTCTTTACTCTGCTGTGTAGGCCTTTTGAGAAACACCATTTGTGGGCACGATTTCCATAAGTCACATTCACTAACTAGTTTTAGTTTGTTGAAGTTAAGCAACTATATGTTTTAGTTAATTTCTAGTATCTATCTGAGCCAAGTCATCCAGGCACTGCACTAAATGAGGGATGGCCAAGCAGGGCTCGCTGACTGGGGAAGCCACCTTCCACAACCAAGCAAAAGGTTAAGGGCACCCCAGCAGCAAAAGTGAGAGAATCAGGACCGATTTCCAAAATCTGCCTGACAACACAAAGGGCTAGCAAGAGAAGACATAACTGGTTATAATCTTAATTCAACATATCTTCAAACCATTTACCCAATGTGATCAGGTTTATTGTAAATTATTATGAATTTTCTAAGCATCCTCCCCTGGCAAGCAGTCAAAAAGAGGCATGCTCTGCACAACTGTTCAGTCTGATTGAGAATGTCACAGAGCGTGCTTCCTGCCCACTTCATGTCAGCATCATCTCAGTTAAGGATAAAATGCTACTTTCGTTACCCACAAAGGAAGGAGCTTTCTCTTCCTATGATATGGGAGAACTTTTGCTTGATTCAGTGAATAGGGTTTTATGAGGTATTGTAAGACATGAGATGGAGACCCCTGCCTAAGTTATATCATGTAAAGACGTGATAAATCTTATATGTAGATGTGAGATGTACATACATTCCTCAGCAGAAAGGACCCCAAACTAGATTAGTGAAATATGTCTGTTTTTTAAGCTTAAACTAAATAGTGGCTGGCCCCTTATAGGGAATTAGATTAAGTCAAATGTTGATGAAAGCTAAATGTCTGTGGGGAATGGGGTTACAAATCAGGACCAAGGAGATTGTGAACTATATGTCTGTGCTCTTGTGTTCTCCCGAGGACCATTCAGACAGCCCCCTTGGTGCAGCCGTGACCCTGGCACATGAGCTGGGCCACAATTTCGGGATGAATCACGACACACTGGAGAGAGGCTGTAGCTGCCAGACGGCTGCCGATAGAGGAGGCTGCATCATGAACCCTTCAACCGGGCAAGTACTGAAGCCTCCACCTGCTCGGGGGTACTGGGTGGCTTGAAATGTGTGTTGGGAAATGGTGGAGTCAAAAGCTCTCCTGGTTTTCTGGTCAGGGCACCCACGGAAACTTTCAAAAGAAACACCTTCCCAAGAGTGGACTGTGCAACTCTTGGGAGTCACCGGCATTGATGTTGTCTCGCTACGTGGCAGGAGGCCTGCCCTCTTCCCTGAGGAGTGGCAGGACAGAGGCTGTCTGTTTATACATCGCAAATTATCCCACAGCTCTGACACGTGTTCTTGGTTTGAGCCTATGAGGAACCAGCGTCCTAAGGGCCTTGTAAACCCTCTGGGCAGAGGTGTGTCATCCTCTGGGGTCAGCTCTAGGGTACGATCTGCAGTGTCTCAGTAGCTTGGGGATTTGTAGGGTCCCTGTCTCTGACCCCACATCACCTTACCAGATTTTAGAGATGTAAGCAAAATGATCATTCTGCTTTGGTAAATTATGTCGTTTCTCCTCATTTAATGCCTTTCTGATACTCTAGGCTTATCTCAATCAGAAAAAAAAGGAAGACAGTTCCATTATTGGAGCATTCAAATGAGGTGGAAACAGATACAACTTGCAGAGATTAGGATGTTGATGTGCTCTTATATCTCTAAAGGGTATCTCTCAAACTAGAATTTGGGGCTAATTTAGGAAGATTCTTGTTAGTAAGGGAAGATGAGCACTGGACACATAGGACAATGCCGTCTTTTGTCATTATCCCTTGAAGCACCACAGTTACCTTGACAGAACTTGGCAGGCCAAGTCTGCTCTCTGGGTTTGCTGGAAGGAGACTTTGGGACAAGAAGCAACTGCTCTGAGGATTAAGGACTGGACTCTATGAAGACTCAGTGGCACAAGGGTCAGCATTCCTGAGGCCAACCCCTGCTGAAGAGGTTTAAAAATCCCAGAAGAGGGAGGAATTGTTAGCGAATGTGGCTGTACTTTCTCAAGCAGTGGTGTGTGGGGGCTCGTGCTGAATGGTTTGCAGGGCACCTAGTTGCCCCCAAAACAAAGACTGGGCAGGACCACGCAGCTCACCTCTGGGTGTTGCCTCTTCTTGGGAGCCATCGCAAGGCCTTTTTCTACAGCATGTGGCTTCTTGATCATGTCCATCAACACCACTAGGGCAAAGCCTCAGGCCATCTCATGGTTCTATCTTAAGCAAGTTCAGGGGAGCTACCAAAACTTTAGCGAGTCTGTGATGACAGAAACCAAGGACCTGTGCCCACAGGGAAATGTCTTCAATCAACCCCAACAAGAAGTAAAACATTGCAAAACTCAAGGTACTAACAAGTAGAGCTCTCCAAAAGGGAGGCAGGCCCCTCTGGAGACTACTGTGCTCTTTGTCGTTAAAGCTGTCTGAGCACAGGCAGAAAAACTATTTGCTGGACATTTGGAGCAAGAAGGTCCTTCTTAGGGTGTGAGGCTGGACCATGGGCCTGTGCGAACTCTCTGTTTCCCATATTTCACAAGCCCAGGCAGAACCCAGGAACAGTGGGCGACAAGCTGTGTGGCTCTCAGAGAATGCAGTTGGCAGGAAGGGGCGTGCAAATCAGCAGTCTTTGTGTCTTCTTGCTTCCTATGAGCTTGTGAAATAGGAAACTCACTCCATGCTCAATTTCCTTAACCATCAAATGGGCACAAATACATCAGCCCATGTGCCTCCAGGGATGATTCCCTGTGACTGAGATCATGTTATTAATCAATATTGTTAATGGGTTTGAATTTTTGATAAAAGCAGCAAGTAGAAGAGAGGAATATCTAAATTAGGAACAGGACTGAGATTAAAGAGAACTTGTGGTCCCAGTTCTGACACCAGGAGTTTTTAGTAATACAGGCAGGTTAGTAATCCCTCTGGCCCTGGTCAGTAAAATTAGGGTCAGTCTTTGTCCGTCTGCCCATCTGCCCATCTACTCATCCATCCATCCAACCCTCCTTCCTTCCTTTTTTTTTCCATCCATCTATCCACCCACTTACTTGTTCACATATTACACAAATAACTTTGACACCTGTGCTCATAGCCCCTTCATCTCTAAAAGTTATATAATTCTGAAGTCACCAGCAAGGCATATTTTCTGGTGTTCTGTAAAGTTTTATGTGAAGCTTTTGGAATTAGAAAGTCTTCACGGCTATGCTGAAGATCACGTGCCAAATTACCCTGGAGATGTTTGAACACCATAGGTAGAAATAGTATTGTTAAGAGCTCAGCAAATCATTTAGAAGGCTTTTTTTTCCTTACCAGGGGTTTGCTAATGGCCTTTGTTTGATTTATATCATATTAGCAATTTCTGGGTTTTCTCTTTTGCTGAGCTTGTGCTTTTGTATAAATCTTTTCTATTTGGCTCTCATTTATGATCCCACATTCCTGTCCAGAGAGTGGTGTTTTTAATTTTCTCAGATGGAAAGCAGCTTCCTGGGCAAGTGGGTGAATTAATCACAGAAGCCCATGGTGAGGGGGAGGTCGCGCGGCCCCGTCAGCCCTCAGTCATCCATCAGCACGGCGGAGGCTCCCAGGCTGCGCCGGGATCATCTCGGAGTGCTGGTTCTCTCCCTCTAGTGTCCTGGGAGAGGAACAGTGTGGAGTTAATGAGGTCATGCATCTGTGTAAACTGTAAATCACCCCATAAATGCGAGATGGTGGCGTTATTATTCAGCTCACAGGGATGGTGGAACTGTCAAAAAAGCTAAAGGCCTTTTTCAGAATTCCTACTCACAGCGGCTAGAAGGGACTTGGAGCACACTGCCACCGCCACTCAGTAACATGTCCGCACTTTCTGTGTGAACAGCTTGTTTTAAACTGGCCCACACCCTCTGCCTTCTTCCTGCCCACTACCGATCCAGGCATGGGTGGGAAATGACAAAAACGTTACTTTTACTCTTAGCCCGAAGGTGACTCAGAAAGGAATGAATCAGTAACTGCTTTAATAATCTCAAAGCCTCAGAATCAAAAAGAACCAAGTGTTGCAGAAGATTTAAAGGGGAAAAGTGCATCCCCTAATACACCTTGTTTATTCTTTCTCTTTAAAACCCTCCCACCTTGTTTATTATTCAGGAAGCATTCCAGAATCCAGACTCTGCAAACATTAACCAACTGCTATCACTGACAAATTGGACCCGAGGCCCTCAGATTCTAGGCTGGAGTAGAATCCTGCAGCAACTTGGGTGTCGAGACTTTGGTTGCACTTTGCAGGAATGGTCGGAGGGGGGTTTCCTTATGGGTTGTCTCGTTAATCATCCAGGTCTTTGAGTGCATGTGAGAGTGTGTGTTTTATGTCTTTGGATAGTTAACATTTAAGACCTCTCTTGGAAATAGCTTTGCCAAAAACAGTATCTGGGGATTGTGTGGGAGTTAAGCACTGTGGAGTCTCTCCATCAATGAATATTTTGGAGCCCTTGGTCTTACAGGGTTGAGGGCTAAGTAGGCTACATTTATAGGAAGGGGGAAATGTGAGGAATAGTAAATAGAGTAATATATAAATATAGCAAATATCACTTCCTGGAGTAAAAACAAACGAAAAATGTTGTATTACCATTCAAAAAAATGGCTTTATTTTTTGCAAAAATTTGTTTCAATGAGAGTGGAAGTGCCAGGCCATCTCCTCAGGGCAGTGCAGCCGAGTCTGCAGCACATGTTCACGGAGCCCCTGCCACGTGCCAGGCCCTGGGGGGGGTGGGGAGGGTCTGGGCACACAGCGGGAGCAGGGCACTGGGGATCCTGGCCCTTATGGGACTTGTGTTCTAGTGGGCAGAGCGGAGTGGGAAAACAGCAAATAAAAACATTGGAGGAAGGACGCAAAGGAAGAGAAGGGAAGGGGACCCGTGGGCTGGGAGAGAGAACCTGCCATGTGCACAGTGACCACACGCGTGCTGAGGGGACAGTGCGGCTGCCAGGGGCCCAGGGGCCAGTCCAGGAGCCCAGGAGGTCTGGAGGTGCTGCAGGTGTGCTGAGCAGAAATGAAGAGGCTCTGGGCCAAAGTCCAGGAATGAGGGTTTTGATCCCTAGAACAAAGGGATGTCCTTGAAGGTTTTCAGGCAAGACAGTGATATGATCTAATTGCTCTTTTAGGACAGTGATATGATCTGATTGCTCTTTTAGAACAGTGATATGATCTGATTGTTCTTTTAGGACAGTGATAGGATCTGATTGCTCTTTTAAGACAGAGTTCTTCATCTTTAAGAGCGTCATACAGCGTATGAGCTCCCATAGCTTGCCACATTAAGGGGCTTACTATCTGCAAAAAAAGAGGTGGACTTCCTATAAAAGAAAAAGGTATTCTCATTTTATTTTGGAATAATTAATAGACATTTGAAACCAATCCTGCATTAAGACTCCAGGTGGTACCTCACTGCACACACCTCTCTGGCCTTATACACTCGAGGTGAAAGTTCCCTGGAGTAAAGTGACCATTACGGACTTTATGTCAGGGAGCCACAAAAGAGCAATATATGTATCTAGAAAGAACGATTGCCATGGTTTTCCTTCTGATGCTGAGATGAGGAGATTAGACCCGTTTTGGTTTTGTTTGGTCTAATGACTCATGGCAAAGAACCTGTTTCCCCAGGGCCCACTTGGCTGTGGAAAGCAGCAGGCTGAGTGCAGAGGGTGCTACAGGGTGAGAAAGGAAGCAGGGGAGGTCCCCTGCTCTCCAGAGTAAATAGCTCACACTCACCTGAGAGGTCTGACCTTCAGGAAGGACATTTACACCTGCCCCAAACAGCCATGTTTAAGGAGAAGGCATTGCCACTCTGCGTCCCCAGAAGTTGTACAGCTGCCTCATTGATTTGGGAAACATTGATGGAATCCTTGATGCCTCCCACGCAGCTGTCTGGACACAGAGCACATCTAGATGCACCACTGGGTTTGGGCGGTCCCCACTCAAGTGCAGCCTTGGCTAATGACGGCTGGAAAGACAGAAGCCCTTCCCTGACGCAGGCCAGGCCCACTGCAGGAAATACCGGGCGTCCCAAAGGT